TCTTACATGCTCAGTATTCCACACTCGCTGTGAAATATGACCTTTCTGCGTCCTCTTACGAAGGACCTCCCACCTGTACGGCCCAGGTATGATCCACATGCTGGGATCAGTGGGCTCTACATCCGAATCAGATCCCGAAGAAGATGATGACTCAGCCATTATCCTCAACTATATAATATAAAACAACATTTAAATTAATCACATGTAATGCCCCATTTTATTTACAATTTAATTAAGCAGTGACATAATTGATTATCACAAAAATTAAGCATATGCGTCTTTTATTTAACTAGAATCGAAATTTATTAAGTCCCGCCAAAACATAGAACAATTATTTATTTGCAATTAAATAATAATAATACATCGGACATAAAAAATAATATAATACTAATTGAATACTTAACCCTAGGTCACTACCAACTTGTCCAATACGTACTAATCATCACACATAACTAACTACAAAGTTATGCACTCCCGCATTAATAACATCATACATACGAAATTTACGATGTCCCTAACACTATTTATAAGTCACTAATTAATATGCTAAACCCTAATGCATAATTAAAAATTAATAATAATAACTACGTAATAATAAAATTACTATATCATTACAACATTCATAGCATGCCACAAAATTTCCAAGTGACTATCCTAATGTTCCAAGTCTTTAATATACAATCAATCTTAACATGTATTACTAACTAGCACTGTAATTTAAATGTATACATATGAGGTATTATGACCTTACCTACGTTGGCAGAGCTTCGCTACGAACCGCGGTTAGAGAGAGGTTGGAGAGAGGTTAGAGAGGTAAATGAGTAAGGAGTGAAAAAAGGAAAGTTGGGTATATATAGGTTGCACATGAGACGCCCCTTTGGACGTCACATGTGACGCCCCAATGGGGCGTCTTCTCCAAGGGAGAGACGCCTCACTGGGGCGTCACATGTGACGCCCAAAGAGGGCGTCTCATTGTGCAAAAGATGTGTAATTTTTAACGAAACAACATTTAATGCGTAATTATTTTAATTAATTACATTATTTTAATTTTTTTGCCGTTTAATTTCTTAGGATAAAAACCGACAAATAGACTATCTGAAATTCAAAATAAACTTATGTTAATTCAAAATAAATTCATATTAGTTTTTTTGAAAAACTAACGTGAGTCTTGTTTGAATTTGGACTACAATTTTGACTAATTGAGTCTATTTTAAATTTCAAAAGGATTATAAATCAATTTATTTTCTTATAGATTAAAATGGGCCCGTTGATTTGCATGTTGTTTAGAAGCTTGCAAAAAAGAGAAGTTGAATTGCATCTTGTATTTTAGAAACTTGCAAAAACAAATTATAAACGAATTGAATCGTGAACCAAATTAAACAGTGAACTGAATTGAACAACATGAACTGAATCAAACTGAACTGCAAATGGAACTAAACCACACCATATTTTTTTGAATGGAATCATATATGTGAATTTGAATGAACTAAATTGTAAATCTGGATCGAATTGTATATCCAAATTGAATCGAATTGAATTGAACCATATATTTGAATCAAACTGAGTTGAACCATAGATTTGAATGATGATCCTCTAAAAGTTTCTCGATTGATCCTAGTTTTCACAAGAAAAAAATTAAGGAAATTTTCATGCAATGATTAACAAATTGCTAATGATAGACAGTTATAACTCAAACTGAGAAGTGTCAACAAGAATATATATTCTTTCCAAAAATACTACAAACATCGTGATTTTAGGAATGAGGATCTAATTTAGAGGGAGATGATTTATATTAGGCATTTATTAGTATTTATTTAAATGGATATCAATTAGTCCTTAGTGGTATCAATTCGAATTAGTATTAATTCTATGTATAAGATAATCAAATTAGTGAGAATGATTTAAATTAAGGCGAGAAAGGAAATTGAAGAGAGAAAATATGAAGATTAAAGTATGAGCTCTTGGGAAAGTATGAAAATATTACTAACTTCCAAAATTCATTCTTTATCTCATCTTTCATATAAGTCATGTCCTTACATAAGACTATATACATGAATAAGAGAGTAAGTACACTTCAATACATTATTAATATGATGGTTACATTTCATACCTATTGGTTCTTCTTGCAGCCTATCAAGGAAAACACATTAGTTCCCAAGATTGTGACTTTGGTCCTTTTTACAATCAGTCAGAGGAAACCCATTTGTTCCCTAAAATGAAGATCATGTCGCGCAAGTGCATGCATCAAATAATAAAGTGATTGTTTAAGTCCCAGATTATCGTTCCCATAGAGAAAGTATTGTTAAATGATATTTTAGTCAGTGTTAAAGAATGAAAAGAATAGGTTTAACAATATTGAACTGTCCTGGTTGACGTTCCCAAGTATTCCAAGGGTGTCCCCTGGTGACAAATGGTTTGGTTTACTTTAAACAATTCATCGTGTCGTTATATACTCAAGTCCTTCCTAATACAAGGAGGAATGACAGATCATAGGAATAAATGATTGAGGTGTGTGGTGTGAAACAAAACAAAATATTGCAGAAAAGTAAAGTGAGGTTTAGCAAAGAATAACACGATGGTTTGATGAATGGAACTATAAGTTAAAGAAAAGGGAATGGATCCACTAATCCACTGTTAAACCAACTGAAATCTCAGCTCAAGACCTTACCCAATAAATTTGTTCAGGTCTTGATTTTAGCAAGATCCATTTTGCTAAAGTTTTGATTTTCTTGATATGAACATTTAGAAACTGTTTTTTTATTACTATATAATCAAAACATATCATAAACATCAATTTATGCATTTCATAAATAATTATTAGCATTTACCTTTAGCCGACTCTTATTTTCGATATAGCGCATACAATATTTAGCTCTCGATTATCTATTAATTGTTGGTATTTTTAGAGCAATAATTATAAAAGTGGATCGGATCAACACGATATAAGATAAAAAATAAGAGGGGGGAAATGGCACATATGCAAGACATAAGTGTTTACGTAGGCACACACACAAGACACAAGTGTTTACGTGGTTTGGCAATGTTCTTACTTTATATGTGAATACATATCAAAAGTATGTACTAAAATGAAATAGAGTATATAACAAGTGGAAATAACTCACGCACTCAAACCCCGATTACAATATACCTAATAATCATCACGGGATAATACACAAAATTGGATATACAAATAAAACTATAAACATAGAAGCATTTAACTCTCACACTAGATTGATTACAAAAATGAATGAACGCATCGATCCTTCATATAGTTGCTTCATGGCGGTGAAAGTTTGAATTCTTCAAGTTGAAGAATCTTCTTATTGGACCCCCATAAATTTTTGGCTCCTGCAGTGCGGTACGGCTGCCCAAATTGCATCTTCGAGGATGAAAAATGTCGAGGCTTTCATATATGTAATGCAACGCAGCAAACATATGTGAAAAAGATCTATAAATTGTAAGCACCAATGACATAACTATTTTCGTGAACAATGGTTTAAAAATTGAAGTATAATCTTGACAGTTATCCCCAAGGTGAAATTGCTGAAGCCATTGATTGATCGAGCTCAACCATTACATAGACATGTACTTAAGTCTTTTTTTTTTTGAAATATAGGTTATTATGTTGCATGAGACCATTTTGTTCATGCATATACAAAAAAGTAGGTGAGATCCACTAAAGAAAAGAGAAAAAATAAATAAATGGATTCCACTCACTTTTTGTGTGTGCATGAGATAATTTTATCTCATATAATATGAAATAATATTTTATTTTTTTTGGAAGCAAGAGTAAAGAGCAGCTAACGAGCTACTCTATGGGTTGCAACACCCAAAATGTCATTACATAACAAGTTGCTACATCCCATATGAGGGTCCAAAAATAATTGCAAATTGTTTCCATTAGACAATGCTTTCTGAGCCAACCAATTAGCCAAAGCATTCCCTTCTCTAAGAGTGTGTTTGATCTGCACATTCCATTCTCTATCAAGGAGATCCCGAATTTTGTTTACCATGTGGGCTAATGGATGATCCATCTGCCCATCATTCTCTATGAACTGCTGGACTTGGGTAGAGTCACCTTCAATAACAATACTCCTAAAGCCTTGGTCCCAGGCTACTGTTAAGCCCAAAAAGAAGCTCCATAATTCAGCTCTAAATGAGGTACCTTGCCTCAAGTTCTTAGTAAAACCTATTTCCCAATCTCCATTCCAGTTTCTGATCACCCCACCACACCCAGATTTCAGGTTATCAATGGCACTAGCTCCATTTACATTGACTTTCATCCATCCAGCCAAAGGAGGGCTCCATTTGATTAATTGATGTTGGATTTTCCTCTGTTGAAGCCCTCCTTTCACCAGCAGATCCTTAGCAGCAAAAAAATTCTCATAATGGCTTAGAATTCTTCTTATACTCTGCTGTATATTTGGTTTCACTCCATTGAAAATGAAATCATTTCTTTCCCTCCATAAGCTCCAACAAGTTATGCCAAAGAGGAGAGGCCAACTGTTGTAGCTAGTATCAATTGTTTTTAGATTTTCATTTACCCAATCTTCCAAGGAGTTCGAGCAGAAGAAGGTCCATTTATTATGTCGGACCAAAGCTTTCCACACACTTAGGGACCAAGTGCAATCTCTGATGGTATGAAGAGAGTCTTCGGGTTGGGATCTGCATCTGGGACAAATATTTGAAGTGGCAAAATGCCTTTTGAACCTTTGTTGATTTGTCATAAGATTCTCTCCTGCAAGGAGCCAGAGGAAAGTTTTAATTCTGTTAGGACCATCCCATTTCCATATCTCTTTCCAATTCACCCTTGATTGATTTCCATCACAGCTCTTTAAGGTTTTGTATGCAGATTTAACCGAGAAGCAGCCATCATTGGTTTTTGTCCAGAAGATCCTATCCTCACCATAATCTGAGTTAGCAGGTAGCATGTTTGTAATGCTATTCTTCACTTCCAGGGGAATGCAGTTTGAGATCTTTTGCCAGTCCCAATCTCCATCTTAGGTAACAAACTCAGCAACTTTACCTTGGATCATATGATCAAGAATGTCAACATCAACTACATCTTTGATACATCCCATATCAGGCAGCCAGTTATCCAGCCAGAACTTCGTGTCCTCACCATTTCTCACCATGATTCTGGTATGCTTTTTAATCTCAGGCCACACCTTCACAACTCATTTCCAAAGATTAGAGCTCACAATTGAATCTTTGATATCATGAATTGGATCATTGCTAATATTGTACTTGTTTTTTCAGCACTTGGACCCAGAGAGTGTTCTTCTTTGTAAGGATGCCATAGCCTATTTTTATTAAAAAGGCTTTATTCGTTTCTCTCATTGATTTAATCTCGAGTCCTCCCATCTCTTTAGAGGAGCAGACCTTTGGCCAAGTGGCATTGTGAGGGCTGTTTCCACTCCCACCAGAGTTCCACAAAAAGCCACGAGTAATCTTTTCCATACTATCACAGATTCCCAAGGGGAGAAGATTTGTTTGCATATCATACATAGGCAAGGCTGATAGTACCGATTGGGCCAACACATTTCTTCCAGCAAGTGATAGAGATCTTCTCTTCCAAGCTCCCATTTTCCTGTTCACCCTTTCTATAATGTGGCTGAAGCTACCTTTGGTTACCCTCTTATGATGAAGGTTCACTCCAAGATACTTTCCCAAGTCCCCAGTTAAGCTAAAACCCAGCTCATTGCTAAGTTCCCTGGCATGATTATGATTCACATTCCTAGAGAATAAAACTCTAATTTTTTCAGCACTAACTTTCTGGCCTGAGGACTCACAAAAACAGTTTAGGATCTGTTTCATGATCTTGGCTTGTTTAGTTTATGCTTCTCCAAATAATAGCAAGTCATCTGCAAAGAAAAGATGTGAAATAGGGGGGCCATTCTTCCTTAATCTCACAGGTTCCCACTCTTTCTGCTCCATAGCTAGGTTGATCATGTGAGCTAACCGTTCAATACAAAGAACAAACAGATAAGATGAGATAGGATCCCCTTGCCTTACTCCTCTGGAAGGATTGAATTCTCTGGTTGTAGCTCCATTCCACAAAACATTCATAGATGCAGTAGATATACACTTCATGATTAGATTGATAAGATCTTCTGGGAGCTGTATGTCTTGAAGAGTATCTTTTATGAAATCCCAGCCAAGCCTATCATAAACTTTTTCTAAATCTACCTTTATGGCCATCCACCCTTTCTTTATTCCCATTGAATGGAAAATTTCCTGAGCAAAAACAATGTTGTCAGAACTATGTCTTCCTTTCACAAAGCTGCATTGATTAGGCATAATCAAGTGGTTCATATGGTTCCTTAATTTGTTTGCAATCAGTTTAGTAATGGTTTTGTATATCACATTACATAAACTGATTGGCCGAAGTTGCCTAACAGATTCAGGGCAATCCACTTTGGGTATCAGACAAATGAGTGTCTGATTAATTGAAGCTACACTTCTAGGATTATAAAGGCTTCCTTGACCACTTTACAAACAGTTTGACCAACCTTGTTCCACTGGGCTTGGAAAAAAAGAGCATTGAGGCCATCAACACCTGGTGCTTTAAAGGGGCCGAAATGAAACACCACACTCCTGATCTCCTCCAATGTAGGTATAGCACACATCATTCTCAAACTTTGGGAGCGGAGAGAAGGAAAAGCTCCTTTCACAGGAAGTTTAGGCTTGCTAACCTTGTCTTCGCAATACAGCTTCTCAAAGTAGTTAGAGATCATGTTACTCAGCTGGTTTGGTTCCCCTATCCAATCATCATTTTCATCTTTAAGAGAATCAATTCGATTGCTTCTTCTTCTAGCTACTATTGTGGAGTGGAAATATTTCAAATTTTTGTCTCCAAACATCAGCCAATTGCATCTCGACCGTTGAAACTAGAGAATTTCCTCCCGAAGATAGATCTCATTTAATTCGTTCCATAGAGATTTCTGGAGGTCCTCCATAATTTGGTTCAGGCCTCTACTCAGCTTGTTATCAATACCTTTGATTCTAGCATGGAGGGTGTACTTTCTTCTGTTAGATTCTTTGCTTGTATCATTATGCCACTTCTGAGCCTTGACTTGGAATTTCTCGCAAGCTGGTCTCCATATGGCTGCCCTATCCCAGCATTATTAATTATTTCCTGAAAAGATTCACAAGTCAGCTAGGAGGCCATAAAACGAAACGGTCGATTGCCATTAGTCCTACAAGGAGGGGATCCATTGAAGAAGATGATAGGTCTATGGTCAGAGCTGTAGAATGGAAGGTGGTTTAGAACTCTGTTAGGAAAACAAGTGTTCCATCTCTCATTGCTGCAGGCCCTGTCCAGTCTTTCATATAGCCTTCCCCTCTTCCGTGTGAATTTAGGCCCTTTGAAACCAATATCCACTAGATTACACTCATCCAAACAGTTCTGGAAATCCCTCATAGAATTCCAGTTAGGTTCAGCACCACCTGTTTTTTCTTCTTCTCCAAGATAAGAGTTAAAATCACTGATTGTAATCCATGCATCACTTGCAGTTACTCTCAGGTTTTGAAGACTTTCCCAAAGAGTTTTCCTTTCAGAATTCCTAGGACTCGCATAGATAAAGGAAATCTTCTCTTCCTTCCTAGACTCCTTCCACACCAGAGAAGTATGAAAAACTGATGGTGCGTAGAGATCACCTTAATGCTAACATCCTCATTATTCCATAGCAGCCATAGCCCCCTAAAGAAACCGACAGCTTCTTGGATATAGTGATTGTTAAAGCCCATCTTAGCAATGCATTGATTGGCTGTAAAACCACTAATTCTAGTCTCCAAGAGACATAGGACTTTAATTTTGAACTTTTTGGTTATATCCTGAATCAACGGGACCAAGCCTTTCTTACATGCTCCCCTAACATTCTAACTGCAAACTATCATTAAAACTGATAACAAGAGTAACAGCAACCACCTGGCAACCCAAGTCATTGTCTAATCTCTGAGAAGATCGTAATACCACTAATGGTAGGCAGGTTAGCATCAAAGGCTTTACCTTCTGGAGTTTGAGAGAAACATCTCATCACTTCCAGAGCGTCAGGGGGGTGAGCCTTGGGGTTCACATTCTCTTTTTCTTCTTGAATTCTTTCAGCATCCTGGAGCTCCTCCATAGCTTCTGTGACTGTCCCTGCCTTAGAGCCTATTCTACCGTTAGGTTTTCCTATTTTAGAAATAACCGACGACTTCTTAGGAATTTGGGGGGCTCTTTTGTCTGGTTTGTTGATGGTCCTCTCCGGTTTTAGTTTCGTGGGCCCCTGCTTATTAGGTTTTTGACCTTTTGGGCTTGCTTTCTTTCTTATCTCTAGACTAGTGGTATTTTGGCTCTTCTCTGTTATAGCATTGGCCTCCTCCCCACATGGGCCTTTAGGATTGTCACATGTTTCCTCAATAAACCTCACAGCTTCCATAATGCTGGTGCTTTCTCCAACCGAGGCTGTCACAGGTACTCTGACCATACCAGTTTCACCAATTTTCGCTTGCTCTGTACTGCTCCTTTTTCCACCTGCTCCTGTCACTACTTCATCCGGGTTCTGATTGAGTTGACTAGCCACCTCACATGTTTCCCTCAAGGCTTCAAACCTCGAGCCAGCTGCCATGGCTGCATGTCGACTGCCATGGAGGCTTCCATCCCTTTGTTTGGTCTTGTCACCTCTGACTTTTTCTGTAAACTTCTTCTTTCCTTGTACCTCTCCAGCCGACATTTTCTTCTTTCCTGGTTCTTCCATGTTCTCCTGGGTAGGTTTAGGTCTTCTTCTTCTGACTGGGCGTTGCACAATCATCCATTCACCAAATGGTTCTTCTTGAAGAACTTTTTCCTTTCCCTTTGACCCGATCTTGTTCCTTCGAACCCGACATCATGCTCCCTTCCCCCACTTCTTATTCCTGGCCTTCTAGACATCTATCCTTCCTGTGACCATAGCTTCCACAACCAAAGCAAATAAGGTGCAAGCCTTTGTCCGCCACATGCATGGTCCTGTCCCCTATTTTGAACTTCGAAAGGAACTTTTTTGATAAATCAACTTCTACACAAATTCTTGCGAACCTTCCGCGTTCTGTATGTTCCCCCAAGCTGGCCTCTTTTTTTTGAATTGAATTTTTATCTATTCTCAGGGTTCTCCCAAACATATTCCCAACAATGCATAGCATGTGGGACGTATAAAACTCAAAGGGGAGGAGTCCTGGAATCCTGATCCATATGGCTAGCTTTTTCATAGTTTCATCATAGGGATCAAATAACGGTCGCCACCTTTGGACAGTAACATAATGCCCTGCGATGATCCAAGGACCATCCTAAAGAACATGTGCATATTCCTTCTCATCGACAAACTTGAATACAAAATAGTCATTTTCCAAATCTATGAACTCATACGCACCTGAGATACTCCACATTTTTAGTATTCTCCCTAACAGATACTTTACATTCAGCCTATTTCCTAGTAGTTTAACTATGAGTTCATTCCTCTATTTTTTACAAGCTTCTTTATGTATTTCTTTCGGGTAGATGAAAAAGTGACAGAAAGGGTCTTGCTCTGCATCCACTACATTTCCTTCTTCTAGATGCATGTCCTCTTCCTCCTCTTCCCGTCGCAGCTGCTCCATCCAGTGTTCTTCTACCTCCTCCTCTTCCCTTGTACCATTGAACTGGAGAAGTGTATCCTTGTAGGATACCATCGTCCTAGCAGGGGCTTTCCCATTATTGATCTGTTTCTCCATTCCTTCCATGCCTTCTGTTTTACCTTGCATTGTCTTTGAAGTCTCTTCTAGACCTTCCAACTCTTTCGATTTTTATATATTTCTTTTCAGAAGATCATCCTCTTCACTTGATGTTGTTTTCCCACTCATACTCCCTGAGAGGTTAGCTCCTCCCAAAATCCTAGCAGAGCTTACCATAATCGAAAAAACGCTGACTGAAATAATATTTTTTAGTGCATTAATTATCCTCAAGTATTTTTATCTTTTGAAATTGAGTTGTGTCCTCACAAGCTGAGAAACTGTATGCATACTACAAAAATCACACATGCACACTATAGATGTTGGCCACCCTCTTTTAGGTAACTCTAGGATAATGTTTGGTAGAGGGATTATTTTAGGATGTCCAAGAAAGTGAGGATGAGATTCTAAAAATACCATGTTTGGTATCATATTTTGGAAAAATTTCTCGAAAAAATGATTTCCCAGGATTCTTTTTTTACTGTAATTTGTGGAATTAAATCCCACCTCAAAATACCACCCAAAGGGTGGTAATTTTCAATTCCCATGGGTCGGGAAAATCACATAATATTTTGTTGACAAAAATAGCCTCCACCGTCTTTGTCCTTGACCATGTTTTCTCTTACCCAGACCGCCTAGTTCTCATCTACACCGTGAAGCCACCGCCACATATCCATCTTCTTCATCAACCACCTACACCACCCATCGTCCAAAATAACCATCATCATTATCCAACATTTTGTTTTGTTTTGTTTTGTTTTTCTTTTCTTTTTTACTTTCTTCTCAATTTTTGATTGTTGAAAATTTTTCAGCAAAAAATAAAATAATAAAATCACTCTTTGCAGGTTGTTCAATCTATAGAGTGATTATGTGGTTTGTTGAGAAATGAAGAATGATTGGCTATTTTCGATGAATTTAGATCCTGATATATTTTCTTTGGATTCCTTTGTGTTTTTACGGTCTAATTTGTTGCACGGGTCAAGAATTGCTGGTGCGTTGTTGTTGTGGTTCTCTAGTGCGAGTTCGAATGTGTCTTGGGACATAGCACATTCCTTGAATGATCCTATTCCTGGATCTGAAAATCAATTAGAACGACAATGGGAACAATGAACAGTGTTGAAGAAAAGAATGAAGGTGAGGTTATTTTTGTAAAATTTTACTCCATATTCCCATTAATATTTAACAATTAACCAAACATACCATCAGTAAAATTGACCCAACATTCTCGAGAATATTTTGGCCTACCAAACAATATTTTGGTAACATTATCGGAAAATTTATTTTCCCACCATATTCTCAAAAATCGTGATTCCCGGGAAAAAAAATTTATCATCTACTAAACGCCGCCTAGGGGTTTTGCAATGGAGAATATATCTTTAGTATTAGAGTATAGGTAGTACTTTTTTACTAAGATTAGAAAAAAAAATTAGGTTACATTAATTATGAAAGGTGAATGAAATAAATAAAGTTAAATAGAATAAATGAGAGAAAAAATAAAATGAAAAGAAAGATAGATAAGAGAGACAAATAAATGAGAGGAAAAAAATTAATAAGAAAATAGATAAATAAAAAGGAAAAATAAATTAGAGAGAAAAGTAATTAAATAAATAAATGAGGGAAAATATGACTGAAAATGGAGTACCACCAATAACTTCCTTTAACAAAACATTTTTCAAGTCTGGTCAATAGGAAGAAAAATGAGTCTAACCTCGATAAATCATGAGTAATTAGGGTTTCCTCTGCTAGGGTTTCCTAGGGATCACCGCCATGCAGCTGCACAATTTACGTGAAATTGCAACAGATGAAGCTGACAATTTACAGAGAAGTAAAAAGAAGTACAAGGGAGAAGGACAATTTTCAAATGATCAAACACCTGCTCGAAGGGAGGAATCATGGATGGACGATCAATCAAGCTTCAAAGAAATTCTTATGAGGCATAATGGGGAATGGGATATTGATGAAGATTCAAATGCAGGTGAGGCGAACAAGATGTTGCTGGATGGGGTTGCTAGAAGCGAACAAGAGGAGGTTGATAAAACACCAGAAGTTTCACTGGAGAATAGAGAAGACGGGAAAACAAACTTTGTTTTATCGGATCAGTTCAAAAGGAAGGCTTGGCAGCCATGGAAACAGTCCCTTATTGTTAAGCTGCTTGGGAAGAAACTTTCGATCATTTTTTTAAGGAAAAGATTGGAGAATATGTGGGCAAGAGATGGAAGTATTTTTGTTACGGATATTGAAAATGATTTCTATCTTGTCCGTTTTGAAAAGAAGTCGGATATGGAGAATGTTCTGTCAGGTGGACCATGGATTATATTTGACCATTATTTGGCTATAAGATCATGGGAACCTGATTTCAACGTTTTCCAATCCCCTATAAATAAGATTACTGCGTGGGTGAGACTACCGGGATTTCCTATCAAATATGTGAACACCTCGTTGATCAAGAGCGTTGGAACCTGGATTGGCAATTTTATTCGGTTGGATGCTGCAACTACCAATCTTGCTAGGGGTAAATTTGCAAGGATTTGCGTAGAGGTGGACCTCACTAAGCCTTTAAAGGCGGAATATCTGATTGAAGGTAGAAAGAAAAAATCGAATATGAAGGCTGCATCTTATTTATTATGCATGTGGTAAGATGGTCATAGGTCTGAATTATGCAAAAATACTACTGAGACAGAAGGGATGGGCAATGATATAGGAGGAAGCATAGATGAGGAGGATATAAAGAAGGAGGAAGGGAGAGCTACAGAAGAGGAGGGTAAACAAGAAAGTTACGGTCCATGGATAGTAGTCACGAGATCAAAAAAAGGAAGGGCTGTACCTGGAATAGGGGATGTTGGAGTAGGGAAGGATAGTAAAGGAGGTAATCTTGGGTTGAATTCTAATCAAAAGGAGGTGATAACGGTATCTACAGAAGCTATCAAGGATAATTCTACTCAGGAGATTCCAGAAAGGGAGGTTTCAAATAATTGTTCTGGAGGGGGACAAATTATGGTGTTGAGCAAAGAGAAAAGACGAGGATCAAATGATGGAGTTAGGCTAGTGGAAACAAAAAATGCTTTCAATATGGTCTGGGATGATATCATGAATAAAGGTAAGGAGGATGATTTAGAGGTTTTGGACCAGAAGGAGATTCTTATGAGGATGCAAAATGTTGTTAAAGTGAGATTAAATCCTGCCTTTGATCAGAAAAATGAGGATACAGATGAGAGGCAGATGGTGAATGTGAAAGAAAGTATTTCGCAAGGTAGTTCTTCAGATATACAGGTGCAATATGAGAAGCCTTCTACGGAGAATGTTGGTAGGATGCAGCCAGTAAAACCTCCTGACCCAAGAATCAAGTTGTCAAGGGATAGTACTGGGAAGCCTAAAACTAATGTTACTCAACGTGGAGTAGGAAGAAGCTCAGCTAGTCGATTGACACAGGTTCAATCTCATCCTGTAACATCTAACAAAGTTTCTTAATGTCGTTACTGTTTTGGAATTGTAGAGGTGCGGCCAAGTCTTCTCTTGGTCGATCTTTAAAGATGTTGGGAGATAAACACAATGTTTGCATGGTTATTCTTATAGAAACGCGTACTGGGAGTGTAAACAGTAGAAGATTGTTGAAGAAGCTTAAATTTGATTCTTCTATTTTTGAGGAAGCAAATGGATTTTTTGGTGGTATTTGGATTTTGATGGATGGTAAAAGAGTGAAAGTGCAGCTCTTATCCCAGTCAAAGCAGTTTATTCACATGGCTGTTACAAAAGAAGATGGTCATAGTTTTATTTGTACGGCTGTTTATGGGAGTCCTCGTGAAGAGGAAAGGCACGAGATGTGGGATGATGTTAAGTAGCTAAGTTAGAATATCAATGTTCCTTGGATTTTACCTGGAGATTTTAATGACATTAGAAGTATTGGGGAGAAAAAGGGTGGGTCTCAACCTGACATTAACAAGTGTGATAGGTTCTCACAATTTTTGAATGATCGTCGAGTTGATGACTTAAGTTGTTCTGGTCCCCTCTTCATATGGCAAGGCCCGAAGTGGAATCATCTTCAAAAGGTGTATAAGAAGCTAGATAGAGTGGTTGGTAATCTGTTTTGGAGAACTCACTTTGAGGACGCTAAAGTGAGGGTTCTTCCTAGACATCACTCTGATCACAATCTTATTCTTGTGAAGACTTCAAAAAGTTCTGATCAATGGCAGGATAGACCTTTCAGGTTTATTGCCTCTTGGTTGGATCACCCCACCTTTAATGACTTAATGTTAGAAAAGTGGGATAAAAATGAAGAATTTACTCTGATGCAGAATGGATTTGTTCAACATCTTAGAAATTGGAATAAGGAGGTGTATGGTAACATAGGAAAGAGGAAGAATAACTTACTCAGAGATATTTCTTCGGTTCAGTTGCAAAGATCATATGAAGATTGTCAAAGCCTTCAAGATTTGGAGATGAATCTGCAAAACAATCTAGACTTAGTGCTGGAGGAAGAAGAGATGTTGTGGTTTCAAAAGTCCAGACATCATTGGATTGTTGATGGCGATAAGAATACTAGGTTTTATCATTTAAAGACTGTTATTAGAAGGAGTACTAACAAGATCGTTAGGTTGAAAAATGAGAACAACCAGTGGATCGAAAATTCTGTTGAGTTAAGGGAGCATGTTTGTAACTACTATAAAAAGCTTTTTAAAGAGGAGGTGGATGAGCGTAGATGGCTATCATCTACTAATAATTGGTTTACGTTGTCTCAGGAAGTTAAAGAGGATATGATCAAACTCCCACCATGGATGAGATTACAAAGCTCATGAGGAGTATGAATGCATTTAAAGCACCAGGTTTGGATGGTTTCCCTGCCATTTTCTTTCAAAGACAGTGGAATAATGTGAAGAACCAAGTTTTCAAAGCTATCTCTAATGTATGGCTAAACCCGAATTTGGTGGAGGACATTAATACCACATTATTGGTTCTCATTCCAAAAGTTAAGAATCCATATTGTGTATCTAAGTTCAGGCCAATTTCCCTCTGTCCAGTGTTATATAAGCTGTTGTCTAAGGTCATTGTTCAATGGTTGAAGCCTGTAATGGAAAAGCTCATCTCCCCATCTCAGGTTAGCTTTGTTCAACATAGACAAATACAAGATAATATTGTTATCGTTCAAGAATTAATCCATTCAATGCATGAAATGAGGGGTAGAAGAGCTTTCATGGCGGTGAAGATATATTTAGTTAAGGCCTATGACAGAATTTCTTGGAGGTTTCTTCGGAAGATTTTGGAGGAGATTCAACTTCCCATGCAGCTTATTAATTTGATGATGCATTGTGTTCAAACATCTAAGATCAATGTTTTATTGAATTATGGTAAAACAGAAAATTTTAGGCTTTCAAGAGGTATTAGGCAGGGAGATCCTCTCTCTCTTTACCTCTTTGTTATTGCCTTGGAAAAGCTAACTCACATCTTGAACACAGCTGTGGATGAAGGTCTTTGGAAACCAATTCGGGTTGGTAAAGATGGGCCCAACATTTCGCATATTGCTTTCGCGAACGATTTGATACTATTTATTGAGGCTAAGGAGGATCAGATGGAGCTTTTGCTGAAGTGTCTTCAGTTATTCGAAGATGTTTCGGGCCAAAAACTTAGCGTCGAAAAAACTAGTGTCTATTTTTCCAAGAATACAAGTGATGAGGTTATTGCTAGAATAATTTAGAGAAGCGAATTCAAGCATGTGAAGAATATGGGCAGGTATTTAGGGTCCATGATGCAGCATGGAAGAGCTTCAAAAGAGCTGTATGCTGGGATAGTTGATAAGATAAGAGACAAGATGAATGTTTGGCAGCAGCAAACTTTATCTTAGGCTGGCAGGATCACGCTTTCTCAATCGATTGTGGCAGCAATGCCTTATTTCCAAATGCAAAGCAGCAAGATTCCTATGTCAATCTGCAACGATATTGAGAGAATTCAAAGAGATTTCATTTGAGGTGACAAGGAAGGAAAAAGAACCAGTCATCTGATTAATTGGAGTACAATAACGAATCCAAATGAATATGGGGGGCTTGGCTTGAAGAAGTTATCAGTAATGAATGATGCGTTTATTGCTAAGAGGGTTTGGAGTTTCTTTAATAAAGCAGACCAGCTTTGGGTTCATGTTTTAAAAGTTAAGTATGAGTCGAGGATAAGAAGAGATGGTTGCTTTGTGGATTGTAATGGAGATTCTGCATTATGGAGGAATATGTGTAGAATTTGGAGGGAGATGGAGGGGAGGCTAAGATGGGAAGTTGGTAATGGTAAGGATATTTTGTTCTGGTATGATAATTGGCTGAACCTGGACCATACTTTGCAGGATTTAGCCAACAACACGATTTCTATTCCTAATGGTGATCTGCGTGTGGCGGATGTGGTTAAGCCAGATGAGGAATGGGATTTCGAGTCTTTAAGTATTTGGTTCCCTAAAAATGTCATTGATATTTTTCGTGGAACTCTTCCACCGTTGGGTGATGATGGACCTAATATTAAGAAGTGGGAGCTAGATGGGGATAATCTGGTTTCGGTCAAGGCCATTTACAAGGTTTTAGCTGGCCAAGAGCTAAGTGTGGATCTGTTTTGCGATAGATGGGTTAGATTGTGGAAATGGTGTGGTTCTTAGAAAATAAAAATACTCATGTGGAAAGTTTTTCATGGAAAGCTCCTAACTAGAAGTCGCACTGCTACTTGGGGGAATGGCATAGATATATGTCCGGTTTGTTTGAAAGACAATGAAACGTTACTGCATGCTCTTCGTGATTGCCAAGAAGTTAAAGCCATGTGGCTTAAATTTGTGCCTCCCTAAAGGATAAGCAATTTTTTTCTTGGAGATGTGGATCAATGGATATAGGTTAACTTAGATATAAAGATGAGAGGAAATGGAAATGATTGGCTTGATTATTTTTTTGTTATCTGCTGGAAGACGTGGATGTGGAGAAATGACCATGTGCATGGTAATGTTTTACCTTTGGTGACTGTGAGGGAAAGTACAATCTGTAATCTAGTTAGAGATATTAAGGATGCTTCGGTTTGTGCTCATGGAAATATGGCAGTAAAGAGGTCAATGCTAATTGATATTGCTTGGTAGTTTCCTGGTGATGGAGTGGTAAAGATCAATACAGATGGAGTTGCTAGGGGAAATCCTGGATTAGCTGCTTATGGAGGCTTGATCCGTAATTCCCAAGGGAGGTGGCTAGGAGGTTTCGCGTACAAGTTGGGCTTATTATGTTCTTCTTTCAAGGCAGAGCTTTGGGGTGTCCTTAGGGGTCTGGAATTGGCCTGGAATGAAGGAAACCGAAATATCATCATTGAAAGTGATTCATCTAGTGTGATCACTGTGCTTACCAGAAGTGGGGAAGCAGTCCGAGAGTGTCATTTGATTGCTCGCTTTCGGACATGGATTAATAAAAGTTGGTCAATGACTTTCATGCATACCTACAGGGAAGAAAATATTTGTGCTGATTGGTTGGAAAACTATATTATTGATATGGAAGAGCATATTCTGTATCAAATATGGAGAGATCTTCCCCCTGGTAGTCAGCATTTGCTTTTTGGTGATCTCACGCTGTGTGTAGATATAGGACAATGGTGTGTAGGAGTTAGGTGTTTGTTTTCTCTTTTGTTTTTTTGGGCTTAGGCCTTTTTATTACCAAAAAAAATGAGTCTAACCCTTTATAGTGTCAATAACTTTCTTTCAATATATTCTGAAACACGTAATCCGTCAATCTAATTCACATTCCATTAAGTCTTATTTCAACAATTTTTTTTTAGTCTTTTCTATAAGTGTTGTAAGTTTTTAAAATATTTGATATTACTTTTTTTCTTTTTTAGTCATCACTTTATTGTTTTCTTTTAAGAAGAATAAAATAAGCATATTAATTAGGCTTTAATGTTTTTATAGTGAATGTAGATAAGTTATCTATATTCGTTCCCAAAACGACGTCGTTTTGGATTGAAAAATTAAAAAAGAAAAAGAAAAAAACTATTATAACTTTGGAATAAATTATAATTACAAAAATACCTTAATTTTTGCCTCAAAAAAATGACGTCGTTTTGGACTCAATGTAAATAATACAAAAAGCCAACCCAATTAGTTAACTTTATAACATTGTTAGGTAGGAATTTAGACAAAGAAAGAAACTTCATAGAGGTCGAAATATGAGGAACTAGATACGCCTAGATACTTTTTTCTATGGATAAAACAAGATCGAATTGATAGAGGAAGCACCGTAAAGATGAATTAGCGGAGTTGGGGGCCGATACAATAAGAACTGCTTACTTACACGATGATAGAAAAGTTAGGAATCCACTTATGTAATAAAGTCGATCCCCTCCGGTTTTGAGCAGCGGTGTAGTATCAGATCCCAAAGATAGTAAGTCTTTTCTTTCTTATAAAGAAAAGTTTCTCTCAAAAATTCTATAGAAATTGATATATCATATATAAATATAAAAGTATATGATATATGAAATCGAGATAGTTACCTTTCAGAAAATGAGAATGAGAGTATGAGTGTCGATGCTTTATTCTTCTGAAGGTAGGAGAAAAGATAAAACTTTATTCAAGTTTGAAACTCATGTAATTAATCTCTTTTTTTTGTTAACTCCAGAAAAAAACGGAACACCGAAAGAATTGACTGCTGAGCCGTATGAGCCGGGAAACTCTCAAGTACGGTTCTAAGGAAAGGAATTGACTCACCTATTCCGACCGCGGAGAACAGGCCATTCGACAAGGAGATTCTGAAATTGCCGAGTCTTGGTTTGATCAAGCTGCTGAATATTGGAAACAAGCTATAGCTCTCACTCCCAGTAATTATATTGAAGCACAGAATTGGTTGAAGATCACAGGGCGTTTTGAATAAGAACACTCTGTTTATTATCTATATATTATATCTATAGATTATCTTTATTTTCTTTTTTTTATCTATTTTGTTTCTATTCTATAGAATTCTATATAGAATAGAAACAAAATAGAAATGAATTTATTTTTTTTTTTATAATTTCTATTTTGTTTATTCTATTTTATTTATTTTTATCTTTATCTTTAACTTGTTATAATTAATTGTTTGCGGTCCCTATATAGTAATAATAAAAATAAAATAAACCATTTCTATAGTAATAACCAATAAACTAATTTCATTATGCCCCCTAAAAAAAAATTCCATCTAGCAACTTTCTAGTGAAATCGAAATACAATACACCGTATTGCACAAAAAAATTATTTCACTTCAATACACAAAGCCAAGAAAACGTTTTCGAAGATAAAAAAAGGTCCATTGAGCGCCTCAATGTTATGTCATAATAGATCCGAACACTTGCCCCGGATTGACTTCCAGATCATAATTGTTCTAGTGAATCACTAAAGAAAATAGATTAAAGAAAATATAGAATAGATAGATGGGAGATAGAAAAGAGCAGAACTCAATATAAACATCTTTCATAAGTTCACTAATTATGTTTTCTGTTGGCGGGTCTCTTTGTATGTGTTGTCCGGAAAGAGGAGGACTCAATGATTATTCGTTCGCCGGAACCAGAAGTCAAAATTTTGGTAGATAGGGATCCCGTAAAAACGTCTTTTGAGGAATGGGCAAAACCCGGTCATTTCTCAAGAACAATAGCTAAGGGACCCGATACTACTACTTGGATCTGGAACCTACATGCTGATGCTCATGATTTCGATAGCCATACGAGTGATTTGGAGGAGATTTCCCGAAAAGTTTTTAGTGCCCATTTTGGACAACTCTCCATCATCTTTCTTTGGCTTAGTGGCATGTATTTCCACGGTGCTCGTTTTTCCAATTATGAAGCGTGGCTAAGCGATCCTACTCATATTCGACCTAGTGCCCAGGTGGTTTGGCCAATAGTGGGCCAAGAAATATTGAATGGTGATGTTGGCGGGGGTTTCCGAGGAATACAAATAACCTCCGGTTTTTTTCAGATTTGGAGAGCATCTGGAATAACTAGTGAATTACAACTCTATTGTACCGCAATCGGTGCGTTAGTTTTTGCAGCCTTAATGCTTTTTGCTGGTTGGTTTCATTATCACAAAGCTGCCCCAAAATTGGCTTGGTTCCAAGATGTAGAATCTATGTTGAATCACCATTTGGCAGGGCTCCTAGGACTCGGGTCTCTTTCTTGGGCGGGGCATCAAGTACACGTATCTTTACCGATTAACCAATTTCTAAATGCTGGAGTAGATCCTAAAGAGATCCCACTTCCTCATGAATTTATCTTGAATCGGGATCTTTTGGCTCAACTTTATCCGAGTTTTGCCGAGGGAGCAACTCCCTTTTTCACCTTGAATTGGTCAAAATACGCGGAATTTCTTACTTTCGTGGAGGATTAGATCCCATAACTGGCGGTCTATGGTTGACCGATATTGCACACCATCATTTAGCTATTGCAGTTCTTTTCCTGATAGCAGGTCACATGTATAGGACCAACTGGGGTATTGGTCACGATATAAAAGATCTTTTAGAAGCCCATAAAGGTCCATTTACAGGTCAGGGTCATATCATTATAGAGGTGCAAGTGCAAATATCATTTTGCGTGCTTTTCCTTCCTACCAAGTTTCCAGATCAAAGTAACAAAAATGAAGGTATTTTCTATTGCTATGTGGGTTCTGACAGTGATACTAGCTTTGGTTCCTATATGGGCATGGCGGATGCTGAACTCGTTGTGGCTTAGGCCAAAGAGGTTGGAAAGGGTTCTAAGAGCGCAAGGTCTTCAAGGCGATACATACAAGCTTTTCGTTGATAACACCAAGCAATTCTATATGCTGAAGATGCAACAAGAAGCCAAATCCAAATCCATTGGTCTCTCAAATATTGATGTTGCACCACAGGTTTTCTCGCCTGTTCATCAAACTGTCAGCAAATACGGTACGTTTCCCACTACCTTCATAGCTATAGCTTAATTAACCTCCTATTTTCTTCAAAAACTCGTGGTTTCGCAAATTATGAGTATACGTATAGAAATACACTACAAAACTATTAATTAATTAATAGAACTTTCACCTAACTATTTACATTTTTTTTTTTATTGAATCGATTCTGTTATACCCCCAGAGGTCAGATATATATAAAATATAGGGAGGAATATATTTATCATAAAAAAAATTTATCACTCTTACAATTAATTTAATTATAATTGATTTCTATTAATCTAATGGTTATAATTTGTTGAGATTTAATAATATTTATTAATTATTAATTCTCAATAAATTATAATTATTTGATTGACAAAAATTAATAGTGATTAAATTGATTGTAAAAATAGTAAACTTTTGATGATAAATATATAGGTTCTTATGAAATATTTTGAACCTTATCTTTTAACATGGTGTAAACTAAACAGTAGATCTCATCTAACCTATATTAAAATACCAAAAAGTTTGGCTTAGGTCTGTTAATCTATTTAATTTTATCAAGTTTTCAATACTTATAAAAAATTATAAAAATAAAATAAAATAATATTATTTTATTAATTAAATTATTTAAATATTTATTTTATTTTAATTAAAAATGAATAATATGATATTGATCATTTGGTAGGCTTATAGGTCAATTATTGTAAAAATAAGTCTATAACTTATTTTTTAAATAAGTATTTAAGATCGGACTTTATTCTAATTTACTGAATCTATTAAACTAGACTTGACCCCATGTAGATCAGTTCATAGGCTCCTAGTAGGCTGTTTGATGGCTATTTTTTTAAATATTGTAGAGGTTTTTGACACGGAAATATTTTTTATGCAGGATCACCCAATGATTTGGTGCTCCCTTTCATAACACTAATTTTTTCTTTCCCTTTTTACTCTTGTTATTTTTCTTCTTTTTCAATTTTACCCTCTCATTTATACTAGGGACCACATAAAAAATGGTGGTCCCGGTCCACAATAAATTCTCTCTTTTTTTGACACATACAAATGACCGTCAACGTTATTCATCCTTTAATTTTTATCAAATTTTGTCTAAGAAATATATTACAGAAATATATCATAAATATGTTTGACGTGGCCTTCATGTGTTGAGTTTTGACACTTCAATTCAATAATGAGCAATGATTTCTTCCTTCTTTGTATAGGGAGCTTCAATTCAATGGCCTTCATGTTTAAAGGAAAATTAGAAATACTAAACGTATTTTGGCAGGGGTGTCTGTTGAGATTCATTCACGATTTTGGTTTCTTGAAAAGCTGTATATTTAAAAAATCATTCCTTAATTCAAGTATTATTTTACTAGGGAGCTTCTTTGGTGTACTGGCATAAATATTTGTTTAGACATAAGTGTCATTTATTCTGTAAAAAAAAAAAAAAGTGTTATTTATTTTTATTTGGCCCCTTAATTTGAAAAGGAAGTGACGATGGTAGGGGTGCTATAGTTTCTTATCTTTTCCTGTCTAATTGTCTTATAGATTAAAACAGATATTGGATTGGAGGAGTTTATATTATCAGATGTGAGCACCAAACATGATATAAACTTGATGCCAATGTTAAATAACATATATATAGATATTAAATCCGAGCTAAGTTGTTAAAGCCTTTTTGAACAATTTCTGATAACTATCGGATGTGCAGGCAAGAATTCTTTTTTATGGGAAGGTACAACACCAAAGGTGATCATCACGGACCCAACGCAAACCAAACAAGTCTTTAACAATATGCAGGACTTCACGAAACCCGAGTTAAATCCTTTTGTAAGGTTTTTCAGCACCGGCTTAACACAATATGAGGGTGAGAAATGGGCTAAACATCGAAAGATTATCAACCCAGCATTTCAGTTGGAAAAATTGAAAGTAAGGTTATTGCTTTAATATATTCTTGCTCCTTGTAATCAAGTTCTAATTTTTCTTCATCTAATATGATTTACTTAGAAAGAGAGCGAGTTTGGAGCAGTGATAAAAACTGTTATTTTGTGACCGAAAAGTCATAGATTCAAATTCGATAACAATCTCTTTGTAAATGTGACATGTTAAGACCGTGTATAAAGATTGCCTTTATTCTTACTCTTGTCAGTATGGGTTTAAAGAAGTTTAAATTTTTAGATTTAATAGTCACGACTTCAATCTTTACGGGATATATTAAAAAACTATAATATAAAATTATTAATATAATTTCGCCTGATAATTTATGCATTTAGGTTGAATTAGTTGTTCATAATATGATGTATTTCACACTTATTTACAGAATATGCTACCAGCATTTTCTCAAAGCTGCAATGATATGATTAGCAAATGGAAGGGAACGTTGTCATCAGATGGAACAAGTGAGATTGATGTTTGGCCTTTCCTTCAAAATTTGACTTGTGATGTAATTTCTAGAGCAGCATTTGGAAGCAGCTATGCAGAAGGAACAAAAATATTTCAACTTCTGAAAAGGCAGGGATATCTTTTAATGACAGCTAAGCATACGCACATTCCAATGTGGTGGTAAGTCTATACTTGATTTTGGTAGGACAGCACAAAACGGGCCAACTCAGTTCAATCCGTCTCAATTTGTTTGTAACTCGAAAAAAATGAGTCAGGTTATGATTGATTCGAAAAAAAAAAAAAGAGCCAAAAAATTCAACTCAACCCGACCCGAATTAGATTAAGGTAACTCGTGGGTTGACTCAAAAAAAGAGGGGGAAAATTAGCCTAAAAAATGAAAAAAACATGATAATTGAAGATAAAAAAAATTAAAGCTTAAAAAAAATAATATGATATAAGATAATTAAAATTGCTAAACATAAACTTACATCAATTTTTTTTCCCACAGATTTGGCCTTATTATTCTTTTACATTTTTTAATAAAAAAAGAATAACTCGCGAACTGACTTATCTGATCTGTGGGTTGACTCAATTTTTCTCGAGCTGACTCAAATTGTCAGCTCATTTTTGCCGTATCTAGATTTTGATATACTTGACAACTAAGTTAGTGATCATGTTCTAGTTTTACATGAGTAAACTCACCATGAAGTTCATAAAGGAAACAAAACTTATTACAATTTATTGCTAGGGAAATTAGTTTCTTATGTAACAAAAGGTACGAAGTTGTTTGCTATGTTTATATTCTAATATGGACATAACCAAAAGGTACTTAGAAAGCTTGTACCTAGCATTAGCCTATCAATATCACATTTTACATGAGATTGATGTCTACAAGTCCATGATCTCTGTAGTCCGAAGCATCTCATGAAAGTTCAAAGAACCATTGGACCCAAGATGTCCAAGTGTTTAAGATATAACATATAAACTCTTAATTATTAACAATTTTGCATAAGGATCTTGAATAATTATTACGTGCATGCAGATTTTGATTTACCGTATGACTCTTACCAAGATATTTGATATCTAGTTTTCAAAAAGATCTAAGAAATTAAAGAGATATGGCATACCAAATGACTCATATGAATATAACAATCATTGGTTCAAGTAAAAAAGAATTTGTTCCTCTTAATCAGAGGTTTTAAGTTCAAGTCCCAATAATAAAAACAAAAGAAAAGTGTGTATCATTTTAAAGGATATAAAGTTGTGTCATTTTAAGTGAGAGAAATAGATAAATCATGGGAGAGAGAATAAGAGAAAAAAGTTTTAAAAATTTAGGTCCCACAATCTTTGTGAGAGAGAAAGGATGTAAGGTGTGTCATTTAAAATGACACACCTTTTTTCCTAAAAACAATAGTCCTAGGAGAGCCACTCCTAATATAGGTCCGACAATACATGAATCGGGCTAATCGGTAAATCTATTGGGAAACCAAAAAAATGACTTATATAAGAGTTGCTACCGCAAAGATCAAGTTATTATATAGAGTATTAACCTATGTTAATTGCAAACAAATTTAACACTCATAGGTTAGTCCATTCTTTCATAATTAACATCACTAGACATATATGATTCTAGGCTTCTACCAACAACCACCAATAGGAGGATGAAGGAAATTGAAAGTGATATACGTGATTCTCTTGAGGCTATCATTAAAAAACGAGAGAAAGCTACGATGAATGGCGAAACCACCACCAGTGATGATTTATTAGGCCTACTTTTGGAATCAAATCAATTTGAAAACCAAGGACGTGAAAACGGTAAGACTCTTGGAATGACCAGACAAGAAGTAATTGAGGAATGCAGGCTATTCTACCTCGCGGGCCAAGAGACCACTTCAGATTTGCTGGTTTGGACAATGGTGTTATTGGGTAAATATCCTGAATGGCAAGCACGTGCAAGGCAAGAAGTTTTGCAAGTTTTTGGCAACCAAAATCCAAACTTTGATGGGTTAAGTCGCCTTAAAATTGTATGTATATCACATGGTTTCATTTTGATTATTATTATCATTATTGTTAGGGAAAAATGTTTATCCTTTTAAATGACACAACTTATATCCTTTCAGAGGTGGGACCCACACTTTTATTTTTTTTGTCAACTCTTTCTCCTATTTATCTATCTCTTTCTCTCTCTTAAAATGACACAACTTTACATCATTTAAAATGACACACACTTTACCCTTATTATTATTAAGGGTCAGTATCATTTTACATCGGTATAAGTTACACTTTCATTCTTAGTCATTAATCTTATTTATATCTAACAGTTGTGATTCATTAAATATGTGAGCTGTTAGATGTAATGATCAAGATTGAGTGTAAATTTTTTTATTTTTACACTACTGTAAAAGTAATCTTCCCCTATTATTATTATAACCCCTTTTGGTGCTAACTTCTGCCTCATTTCCATAGGTTATCATGATTTTATATGAGGTTCTTAGGTTATACCCACCTACAGTTTACTTCAATCGAGCTCTTCAAAAGGCTGTGAAACTTGGAAACTTGTCACTACCCGCTGGAGTACTTGTTTCCTTACCAATACTTTTGATTCACCAGGATCATGATATCTGGGGTGATGATGCAAAGGAGTTCAAACCTGAAAGGTTCTCTGAAGGAATTGCAAAGGCAACTAAAGGCCAAGTTTCGTTTTTTCCATTTGGATGGGGTCCTAGAATATGCATTGGGCAAAACTTTGCCTTATTGGAAGCCAAGATAGTATTGTCATTGCTTCTGCAAAACTTCTCATTTGAGCTTTCTCCAGCCTATGCTCATGTTCCTACCACTCTGCTTTCTTTGCAGCCAAAACATGGGGCACATATCATTTTACGTAAATTGTAATATCAATCATATCTAGCACTTGGATTGGATTGAAAACTATTTTTTAAGATCCAGTAATGCTTGTACGTTCACAATTAGCTACTATTTGCCTCAATCAATAAATACATTTCGTACGTACAATTGAGTTACAATTTCACTGTGAAGATATTGTTTGTTCCAAAATTCTATACCATAGTTTATAGGGTAATCCTTGGGGTTAATTTGGTGGACTTTAAAATCAAGCTAGTGCGGATGTATGTTTACCAGTAGAGAGGTAAACATGTCATATTCATGCACCATAGCTCTGGAGTTTGAACTGGCTTCGTACCTGGTCATAGCAAAACATGTCCTATTCATGAAAGAATATCGTTTGGGAGTTTGGTAAAGGAAAAAAAAAAAATTATCCAAAAATCACATTATCAGAAATGTGATAGAAAAATAAGATTTTTGGAAATGTGACTAAAAAGTTATTTGGTAAGCCAAAATTTTACTGAAAATATTAGATGAAATTTACCAAATCTATGTTTGGTTGATTATAAAATATAACTGAGAATTTGGTGTGATATTATAAATATGGGTTTAAGTTTTCTTATGTTGTAGGATTGTAGGAGAGAAAAAAAGTAGAAAGAAGTTAAATGTGGGTCCCATATTTTATATTAAAAAAGAAAAGAAAAATTAATTGGCACGGAAAACGAATTTGTGTAGGAAAATGATTTACTCTCATGTAGCATGAGAGTATTATTTTCCTATAAATATACCCTCACTTTGATATTTTGTTCAACCACTTTGGTAGGGTTATTTTTGTCACATTTTTCAAAGATGCAATGTCTTGTCACCTTTTTTTTCAACCCCTTTTCCAGCAATTCAACAATACCACTCTCTGCGTGGTATTCTAAACAATAATTTTTATCCAAGTTTTACACATAAAACGGATTACCAGCTATCTCACTTTATTGGATATCCAAAAAAAAATTCCTACCAAACACCCCCTTACTTGCCAGCGAATGAGATGCTCTTTGGCTAAGTGTTGAAGAAATTGCCAATGGTTCATGATCCAAACCTTCAAAATGGTATATGCAAAGGATATATATAGTAGTTGTTCACCATTAATATATTAAAATTTAAAATGTCTATGGTCAATCATTTTCAAATCTATAGGATTAAGAAATTGTTGCTTCTTGAACTACGGATCCACCACTTGCAAGCATACTGTCCAAAGTTATCTATTCTTTTGGCTATAATAATCCAAAATTGTTGTCAAGAAGAAAGGTTGTACTAGCCACTAGGATTGTTTACTCTTTCATGGAATGAAGATTAATTAACCTACAACTAAAGTATTAATAAACAGTACTAGGATTGATTAAAGAAAGATAGTAGAAGATAAGATATAGCCTTCCCATAACTGCCATGAATAATTAAACAATGCAAGAAATCACTGTCCAATTGGTCGGTTCACTTTCAATGTGAAAGGAAATCCTCCAAAAATAAACAGTAATAATAATGAATTAATTTCTTTCTATGCTTCGATACGTAACTGAAGCCAATAAGTTTGTGGCTATATATAATAAAAGTTTTATTAATCTCATGTTAAAAAAGAGATAGTTATCTCATGTCATAGAGACAAACTAGTGGGCTCCCCATCTGAAAAAAGAAAAGAAAAAGAAAAAGAAAAAGGTGACACAATTATCGAAGAGTGTGTAGTAGAGAAAACTTATATCATATAACATAAGAATAGTTTTTCTCATATATATAATAAAGGTCCATCCGAAAATTGTAATCTATTGTAATTGTATTCTTTGTTATCCTGTTTGAAAATAGTTTTTCAACTCTTCCTTCGGAAATCCGAATAAACTAAAAATTATTACTGCTTGCTAAATCCTTAATAATATGAGCGTGTCATAAAATTTAATTTAGAGAGTATAACTTAAAATTTAATATAATTTAAATTGTATCATATGTACTAATATAGACATAACGTCCATAAATAAACAAACAAACAAACAAGGAAAAAACCACGTCCCGCATATTGAGTAAAGAAGGGAGCTAACGGTAAGAGAAAATTATTATTATTTATTAATGGACTAAGCTGTGCTCTAATAAATAAATGAGCTTGAAATCATATCAAAATGCGTTCAATTTATTATATTTAGAGAGAAAGAATTTTATTGAAAAGCCTTCTTATATGACATATTGCTAGAATGGTAATTGGATCTCTCGCATAAATGTTTTGGTATTGCAAATTGGCTATGCTTTTGAGAGAAGGGGACAGGATTTTACCGACAAACAATATGAGATAATATTTTAAACTTCTGCAAATATTGGGGCACTGATCCTATCCAAAGGAGGGCCCCCATATGAATATACATATTGATAATCATTAATTTATTTGAAGCCAAACCATTCGAATCAGTGGATAAATCAGAAAGAAATTACAATTAGTTTAGTGTTAAAGGGATTCCGGTAATTTATATTAGGTTTTTTATTCAATTCTCATTGTATAAAAAAATAAAAAATAAAATATTTTTCCCAATCTAATCCTTACTGATCACTATTAGAAAATGTATTTTTTTTTACGGAAATAAAGCCGTCGAATATAAGATCGTGGGAACAATTTTTTCGACGGAAATACAAATTCCGTCGGAAAATTTCGACGAAATAATTTCTGTGGGCAGTTTCGACGGAAAAATAATTCTGTCCAAAATTTTCGACGAAAAATGAATAAAATTCCGTCTAAAAATCTTGTCTCAATTTGTGACAATAAATTCCAAAAAATTTCGACAGAAAATAAATGAAATTCCGACGAAAATTGTTGTAATGGTTTTCGACGGAAAACTGATTCCGTAAAAATTTTCGACAGAAATTCTGTCAAAAAATTTTGTAATGGTTTTCGACGGAAAACTGATTCCGTCAAAAAATTTCGACGGAAAATCAATGAAATTACGTCGAAAAATCTTGTATTAATTTTCGACAGAAAATAAATTCCGTCGAAAGTTTTTGACGAAAAATGAATAAAATTCTGTCAAAAAATCTTGTATTAATTTTCGACAGAAAATAAATTCCGTCGAAAGTTTTTGACGAAAAATGAATAAAATTCTGCCAAAAAATCTTGTATTAGTTTTCGACGAAAAACAAATTTCGTCGAAATTTTTTAACAGAAAATGAATAAAATTTCGTCAAAAAATTTTGTAATCATTTTTTACAAAAAATGAATTAAATTATGTCAAAAACTATGGCCTTAATTTTCAACGAAATTGCTTTTTTGTCAAATTTTATTTTAATTTTGCTCTACAAAATTAATACCTATTTATCTTTTGCACTTGATTAACAAATATAAAAACAGTAAATAATATATCAAATTCATATTGATCTTAATATAATTATGTGTACAAAAGTCTCTGTTATATACAAATGAAAAAAGTCTTTGTCCATGTCATATACATCCAAACAAGATACAAAATTCATATTGATTTCTTTTTCTTTTATTTTTTTTAAAAAATTTCGACGGAATTGGTTTTCCGTCGAAAATTTTCGACGAAAACCAAATTCCGTCGAAAAGTCAAGAAAATATGATTTCTTTTTCATTTTTTTTTTTAAAAAGTTTTCGACGGAATTGCATTTCCGTAAAAAATCTTCGACGGAATCCGAATTCCGTCGAAAAGTGAAGAAAATATGATTTCTTTTTGTTTTATTTTTTTTAATAAGTTTTCGACGGAATTGATTTTCCGTCAAAAATCTTCGACGGAATCCGAATTCCGTCGAAAAGTGAAGAAAATATGATTTAATTTTCATTTATTTTTTTAAAAAAGTTTTCGATGGAATTGATTTTCCGTAAAAAATCTTCGACGCAATCCGAATTCCGTCGAAAAGTCAAGAAAATATGATTCATTTTTCATTTATTTTTTTTAAAAAGTTTTCGACGTAATTGATTTTTCGTCAAAAATCTTCGACGCAATCCGAATTCCGTCGAAAAGTCAAGAAAATATGATTCATTTTTCATTTATTTTTTTTAAAAAGTTTTCGACGGAATTGATTTTTCGTCCAAAATCTTCGACGGAATCCGAATTCCGTCGAAAAGTCAAGAAAATATGATTTCTTTTTCTTTTATTCTTTTAAAAAAAAATTCGACGGAATTGATTTTCCGTCCAAAATCTTCGACGGAATCCGAATTCCGTCGAAAAATCAAGAAAATATGATTTATTTTTCATTTATTTTTTTAAAAAATTTTCGACAGAATTGATTTTCCGTCCAAAATCTTCGACGGAATCCGAATTCCGTCGAAAAATCAAGAAAATATGATTTGTTTTTGTTTTATTTTTTTTTTAAAGTTTTCGACGGAAATTATTTTGCGTCAAAAATCTTCGACGAAATCCGAATTCCGTCGAAAAATCAAGAAAATATGATTTATTTTTCATTTATTTTTTTAAAAAACTTTTCGACGGAATTGAATTTTCGTAAAAAATCTTCGACGGAAACCGAATTCCGTCGAAAAATCAAGAAAATATGATTTCTTTTTCATTTATTTTTTTTAAATAGTTTTCGACGGAATTGTACTTCCGTAAAAAATCTTCGACCGAATTAAAATTTCGTCGAAAAGTGAAGAAAATATGATTTCTTTTTGTTATATTTTTTTAAAAAGTTTTTGACGGAATTGATTTTTCGTCAAAAATCTTCGACGGAATCCGAATTCCGTCGAAAAGTGAAGAAAATATGATTTCTTTTTGTTTTATTTTTTTAAAAAGTTTTCGACGGAATTTATTTTCCGTCAAAAATCTTTGACGGAATCCGAATTCCGTCGAAAAACCAAGAAAATATGATTTATTTTTCATTTGTTTTTTTTAAAAAAAATTCGACGGAATTGAATTTCTCTCAAAAATCTTCGACGGAAACCGAATTCCGTCGAAAAATCAAGAAAATATGATTTCTTTTTCTGTTATTTTTTTCAAAAGCTTTCGACGAAAATCATTTTTCGTCGAATATCTTCGACGGAATACATTTTTCGTCGAAAAAGTTTCGACAGAATCAATTTTCCGTCAAAAGTTTTTGACGGAATCTATTTTCTGTCAAAAAATTCAACGATAAACGAATTCTGTCGAAAATTCCGTCAGTAATTTCCATGGAATTTTTTTCCGTCGAAAATAATGACTTTTCTAGTAGTGGATGATGTGTTTTTATTGAGAATTTGATTTTGATAAATTTTTAAAATAAAAAGATTCTAAACTGTATTTAATGAGTTTGACATGTTAATATCATCAAACTAATTATATAATAAGAAAGAAATTATTAAATAATTATATAAGAAATTCGTATACTAACAATATATTAAAATTAAACTATCATTAATTATAATTGTATGTTAATTGGATAATTGGTTCTTTAATTTCTCTGCGGAGCAATTTGTTGAATTACTAAATTTCTTTCTTGAATTGCGATATGCGTGTAATGTTAAAGTATATGATTAGCATAGAATATATAATTAAGGTTAAGTGCATCCCAACAGTGAAGACTTCGTATATATAAGAATTTGTCAAAAATCATTGCGGGAATATTCATAGGAACTACCTCTTACTATTTATTTTATTATTATTGAATTAAAATCAAATTAACTGTTATAAAATAATATTAAATAAAAGTTGTTGATTAAATTTCGATCTAATGATAATAAAGTTTATACTCAGAAGTAGTAAAATAAAATTGTAATAAATATAACCTTTCAATTTTTAAAATAAATATATTTTTTCCAAGAATGAAGATGCTAATTTTTTTTTTGGACTATCAGTTTATTTTTTGAAATAAAAAATTAATTAATTTTATCAAATGTAATTTTAAATATTTTAGTTTTTCATATTAAATTTTGGCTTTAATATTTCTATAGCGAATGTAGATAAGTTATCTACATTCGCTTCCAAAACGACATTGTTTTGGATTGAAAAATTAAAAAATTATAACGAAAAAGATTATTATAATCCTGAAATATATTATAATTACAAAAATAACGTGATTTCTACCTCAAAACAATGTCGTTTTGAGCTTAATGTAGATAAATTATCTACATTGACTGTAGAAAAAGCGAACGCTTAAATTTTTTAAAAAAAATTGGGAAATATTATCTCGTAGCTCCCAAATAGCGCAAAGACGATTTTGTCCATCATTTTTTGATCGATACCAACTTAAGTTATGGACTGGAGTACAAGTTTGACCAACCCACCGAAGGTAGGTCCAAGATTTTTATACTTTTCTTACTTTAATATCCGTCATTTAAGTATTAAAAAAACTTTAATTCAAGAAAAAAATATTTATATATAAACAATTTCTTTCTCAGTCATTATGAAAATATTTTTATAAATTTATCACTCTTTTATTGCACTTTCTCGTTTTAACTATTAAAATCTAGATTTTAAAGTTTCTGTAGTTATTTTAGATAACTTTATTTAATATTCATCAAAATATATATCAGAATTTATGTGAAGAGAAGAGAAAAAAAAATAGACCCCACACATATTTTTGTGTGTATTTTGGTAAATATTAGATAAAGTTATCTAAATTAACTTTAGAAACTTTAAACTCATTAAAATAACTACATAATAAGAATAAACTCTAAAAAAATTAATATTCTTATTTTAAATTTTTTATAACAATTAATATTTTGATAAAAAATTTAATTTTTTTATATAAGTGATGATTTTATCTATTACACATACATATAAAAGAATAAATCTCATTTTTTTCTATCTTTCTCCTCTCTTCTTTTTCTTCTTCCTTTTTTTTTTTGGTAAATGTCTATCTTTCTCTTTTACTCATAGGACCCGTCCCGATCCACTAAGATATGTTTATTGAAGATAAATTTATTTTTTATTTGTAGAAAAGACCTTCACCCCTAAAAAATATATATTATCCTATTTGTTCTTTGAACAATATCTTTCCATATATTATTATTACATTTGTAAAATTCACTGTTATGGTTGTAACATTATTGAGTTACGATTGTAGCATTAATTAACAATCATCAATATTACAATAATAATTATCTTTTTTTTTGGTAAGACAACAATAATAATTATCTTTAATACTATAATCGGAACAATCTGATTAGATGATTGATGAAAAGAAGAAGATATAAGTATAAGTATATATAGTAGAGAGTAGAAAAGGACTTTGAGAAAGCCAAGTTGATGGCCAAGTGGCAACGTGATGCAACCATGTCGCTTTCAGTTTTAATTCCTAAGGATAAAGATTAGTTGTTAGTCGTACTATAATTATTTATTTATCACTAATAATCTTCGATAAGTCTAGAGGATATTAAGGTTAGTGGCATTTTCGTAATTCCAAATTGATTCTGCCAATATTAAATTGAAAATCTTGTTAATTATTATAGAATCAATTTTATCATTTCAAAGTTATCATCAAGATTTCAAAATAGGATACAATCGCAATAGCCTCACGTGAGGTAATCCAAAATTTAAAAATTTGATCACGGTTATAAATTATTTATTTTAATTTATATGAAATATGAATAACATAGAAACAATATTAATTAAAGATATGGTAATAAATAATATTAAATAAATGAGAAGATGAGATATGCATAAAGAGGGTTACGTGTGCTTCAAGCCAAAACCCACAAAACCCCCTTCGCAACCGTTTTTGTTTCTCTCTCACACACACTCTTTCTCTCAGATTCTCAATTTATTTTCCTTTGAATTTTGATTGCTTTCTAGGACCTCGTATTTTGCAAGGAAACGAGGAACCGGTTGGGTTTTTGAGGAGAATTACGTCATGAGATTTATTGAATGAGTTTATTGGTTGAGGAAAAAGAAAAAGAAGAACAAAGGAACAGTGATAGAAGAAGATGCAAAAGTCCTTCAAAGATTCCCTCAAAGCTCTTGAAGCTGACATTCAGTTTGCCAATACTCTGTAATTCCCACTACCCTTTTCTCTGTCCAATATCAACCAATAATTTTTATTTTTTTTATAATAATGCTGAATTTTGAATACTGACCTTTTCAGAAATTCTGGATTTTCCAAAAAGATGCTATTTTTATTTCAGTTTTTTAATTGGGGTTGTGTGTAGAAATTTTTTTGCATGTTTTTTTCTTTTGGGAAATGATTAGTGCGTTATGATGGTGGAAACCTTTTAGTCTGTGTTATGTAGTTCTGAACTCTGTTTTGTTCTGCTTGTCCAAATTGCAGGCATCCTTGTCATTTCAGAATTTTTTGGTTTTTATTTTCTTTTTCTTTTTTAATTTTTCACCGATTACTAAGCGGTGGTTGTAGAAAGTTCAATGAAGAACACCTGAATGGGACTTAATTAGAGAAAAAAGGTTGGGTATGTGTGTGTTTATTTCAACCCCTGGTTTCTTAGTATGTTTTGCTTTCATTTTGGAAGACCCTGGTAAGATATCTGAAGTGTATCTTTTTAATATATTTTTTTTCATGATTTTAATGGTGGTAGGTGTTTTTTGTCCAAATTTATGTATACAAATAAACTCACTCATGCTTGGGGATAAGGCTCTATAAAATGACAGTGTCACTCCTAATTTTCAGTTTAATTTTATTTTAATGTCATGGCCATCAATTTTTGTTTGAATACTAATGTATGAGACTTCTGTTTGGGGCACATTAACATGAGATAAGTTTACAGGGGAATTTAAGATGCATCCATATGAAGGCTATAAAGAAGCTTTTGTGTAGCTATTATACATTTTATAAGCCTGTGAAATTCTTGTATGAATTTTCGTTATATTGAAATTTTCTCAACCTAAACATGAAAACTTTTTATTGCATAATTTTTTTAACCAATTCATTGTGCAAAACATGTTCTGGTACAGAGCTACTGATTATCCAAGAGAATGTGATGGCGCCTGCTTGCAAATGAGATTGTCTTATAGCCCAGCTGCTCAATTTTTCCTTTTTCTGGTTCAATGGACTGATTGTCATCTTGCTGGAGCCTTGGGATTGCTAAGAATTCTCATATACAATGTACATTAACTGCCCCCTACTCTATTTATACACTTCCTATATCCTTTACCTTTGAATGGACCACTATAAAACTGTAATCCATAATCAAATATGATAGTGTATGCGAATGCTGCCATTTCATTGTCAAGCTTGTAATAAATAAGTGTTGGGATTGTTGCAGGTATATGAGGATGGTAAGACAACCATGTCCATATATGAAAGAAGAGCTAGTCTGAAGGAGTTCTATGGTAAGGGAATAGTCATATTGAAATAAAACAGTGAACTTTGAAACCATGCGAGGGCGAGCCTCGCAGCAGCGGTATGTTGCTCCTTGTGACCATAGTCACAGGCTCGTATTTGGAAAATAGCCTCTTTGCAAAACAATGCAAGGATAAGCCTGCATACAATCGACCCTCATCCCTACCCTCACAAGTTGGGGAATCTTGTGCACCGAGATTTGCCCGTTTGACTTTGAAACCTTTCCATGTCTTCGTAACTTAAATGGTTTTTTTGCTCTCCTTTAGAAAAGTGGCTCACATTCCAAATGTGGTTGCTTTTTCGCTCTCTAATAACAGGTGTGATCTTTCCCTCTTTATTACAACTCCAAAGAGGAATCACTGATGTAGAAGACAGGAAACAAAAAGAGTTATGCAATACAAAGTACAAGCCAAAAGATATGATAAGAAAAGGAAAACTATCTGAAATTGATATAGAGAGAGAAGAAGAATGTGGTATTTGCATGGAGATGAACAACAAGGTTGTGTTGCCCATGTGCAACCATTCATTGTGTATGAAATGCTACAGAGACTGGTGAGCAAATTGTGATTTATAGTTATATTATGGTCTGAATCTCATATATTATCTCCCCAACCCTTGTGCAGACTTGAATCAGTGATGGAGAAAATACTTATAATGACAAAGTAGTAATAAAGCTAAGACAATTTTAAGATATTAAGCATCTAGAATTGGGGTTGTATTTATTTTAGGCAACTAAATATGAAAGAAAAGAGCTACCATTAGTCAAAAGGTACAAATAGTTTTTCAATTTCATATATTCCATTGGAAGAAGATTAGATTCATCCTAATGAAATTTTTTAACTGAGCAGAAATATTAGGCTTCTGAATTATTTCTAAGATGTTTCCAAATGTGATTAATTCATTGGCATAGCTATTCTGCTGTCATTGTCTTCACTTCTCAGGATTAAGTTTTTGCTGTTGGTTTAGGCATGCACGATCTCAATCTTGCCCTTTCTGTCGGGACAGTCTTAAAAGAATAAACTCTGGTGACCTCTGGATCTGCATGAACAGCAGTGATATAGATGACTTGGCTTCAATCAACAAGGAGAATTTAAACAGGCTATTTATGTACATTAACAAATTGCCTCTGATGGTGCCAGATCCTATATTCATGTCTTATCCTAAACACTTTTGAGTTCCTTTTAGTGAACTCTGGTGACCTTTGCACATACATGAGCAGAAGCGAGATAGTTGACTTGGCTTCAATCAACAAGGAGAATTTAATTTAGCTGCATTGACAAGTTGTCTCTAATTGTGTCACATCCTATATCCAAGTCTTATTCTCAGCACTTTTGATCTCCTTTTTGTGAATACTTCAAATTTCGTTTTGGTTTTGATCTTCAGTTTGTGTTGAGTTATTCAAACTGCAAATGCATGTTGCTTCCTTTAAAAAAAAAAAAAAATTCACTCCCCTCAACTTGTAAGTATAGAGGACGGAAAATCTTTATACACAGCCTTTGTTGCTAACATGTTGCATTTGTAAATACATGTTGCCTTCATATTCAAATAATATTTTCATTCCAGTCCAAAAGTCCTAGTTCATCTGAAATGCTGGCAGTCACATTTATGCTGCACCCTTAGATTTTGGTTTTAGATTTGTCTTCCAGTTTTCTTTCTGCTAGTAGTTAAAGGCAATGTCCATGTACTCCGGACAATGTTTACACAATTCAAGACTATTGTAAATACTGATTTCTGATACACAATTTTGTCCATAAATTCTATCTTATTAATGGATCAAATGCTAATAACTTCTGTTCTTTATAATGATAATTTTTCTTACCATTTTGAGCTTCATACCAAGGCTGAGTTCTCTATCCTCTGCTCTCTTTCATTCCCTCCCCAACAATTTTACTCTACACTCACACGTTACACAATTTTGCTGCCCCCTGTTAATTATTTTTTTGTCCATACACCACTTACGTAATGCACACTTAAAATATCACCCATTTTTTCAGTTCCCACACCATTAAAGCATTGTAGCACATACTCCTCAGACAAAAGCACCTCTTCTCCTGCACATCATGACACTATAGCCTATACCCAATGTTGAGAATTCAATTGTGAATGGTAAAGTTTCGCATTATGAAGGAATGAACTAAGCATATAAGTTAAAAGGGATCATAAACCTAATGTTTTAGGTTTTGGGTTGAGATATAATGTTAAGCTTACTTATTGTGATGTACTGCAATTAGGGATATAAATGTGTTAGGTCAGACTAGGGTTTAATCTAAATAAGCCAGGTTTATGTAAAATATTTTAGTCTGACCTGGTATATTTGTCTGGTGTAAGCTAATTATAAGTCCGACCTGATCTATATTAAAAAATCAAAACATTTGGCTTAGGCCTATTAGCCTACTTAAGTTTATTAAACCTTCAATATTTATCAAGAATTTAAAAAATAAAAATATAATTTTTTAATTAAAATTATTTAAATATTTATTTTATTTTAATTAAAATAAATAATACAATATAGGTCGGTCTGTAGACTTATAAACCTTGTAAAAGTAGACCTATGGTATGTTTTCTAAACAAATGTTTTTTTAAGGTTTAAATATGTTCTATTTTAATGAAATATTAGGTTAGACCTGAGGCCCTTAATAGACCGCATTACCTATTTGCATCCCTAAGTGTTGCTTAGCCCATTTGACGATAATTCTTATACGGTGAGCTCTCTTCCTTATCCAACAGTGATATGAGAGTCTCCTGGCTATAAAATTCACAAGGCTTTGTGGGGACTAGGGAGTTTGGCGTTTGGTAGAGGAAAAAAAAAATTATCTGAAAATCACGATTTTCATAAATATAGTGGAAAAATGAGTTTTCTGGGAATGTTACCAAAAAGTTGTTTGGTAAGCCAAAATATCCCGGGAATATTGGACTGATTTTCTTGATATTATATTTGGTTGTGTTAAATTTTCCCTTGCAATGGGAATCTTAGAATACCACCCCTGGGTGGTATTCTTGGATGGTCTTTTCATAAAATTTTACACACAAAATAAAATCTTGGGAAAATCAGATTCCTAAGAAATTTTTAGAAATCTCGTATCAAACGTGGGTAAATAAGATTACCAATCTCAGTTTCTCTGGAATTCTAAAAAAAAACTTCTACCAAACACCATATAGTGATTTTGCCCAAAACTAGCCGTTATAAGCTTTCTGTCGCGTAGGGAATTGATTTCCATGATTGGGGAATTGATTCCCAAAACCTTTCTAATGTGAGGGAATCGATTCCCAACCTATTTCAGGTTGGAAATTCGACAGCATGAATAATGTTTCATATTTTTGTCATATCTTGAGCTATTCTTATCGGATTAATGTGATCTTGATCTCATTAAAAAGATAAAAGAAATATCTACAACTTATGTGCAGAACAAAGATCCAAATCAATCATCATGGATATGAAAAATGGGCTAGAAGATAGAATCCAAAATTATGCAACAAATTTGAGTTTAAATGCATTCCAACTTGTTTCCAACAACTTTTATGAAAGATCTTGATTTGATAAATAAGTTTTGAAGATATAAAACATATTAAGGATCTTTTACATGGGTTTTTTAAATTTCTTTCAAGTATATAAAGGTTATGGATTATGCAATTTGAAAATACGTTTACTTTGAGAAAAACTTTGAGCTCATGCAATGCAATCTACCATATACCTTTACATTTGAGTCTAAGTCTTAAAGATATATTCTAAATATTATTTTAAACTTGGCTTCATGTCTTGTGTCTTGGATCTTCACTTGAGCTTAATGCTTTAACTTGTTGGATATGGCAATGCTTGAGAATTTGTTGATTTTGATCATTTTTCACCATGGTTGTGATATTAAGCTTCTCTTAGAAGTTGTCCATGGGTTTTGTCTTTGATCTTGGTGTTGTTCTTTTAATTATTCTTTGTTGCTCGTGATCCACTGATCCGGCCACTTTGATATGGCATTACTCTTCTTGTGTGACTACATCATACATCTTCAAATCCATATATGGTTGATGCTTTTTGCTCTTAATCAATGCTCTTATCTTTTTGTGTTTGCCACTTTGTTATCATCGAAACATACATTATATCTATAATCTTTCCCTTTTTGATAATGACAAACTCAAAATTAAGAAAAGGTTAGTATAACAAATATTCTCAAATAATATATTGATATACACTCTCTCAATTTATGAATGGTTTGAAAATGTTATATTTATCAAAGTGAAGCATTACAAACCAATATGTATGTGTACGATGAGAGAATATAATTGTCTCAATTTTCATATATTTTTTCACTAAAAAATCAAAAAACATAAATCATGTTAAACATACGAATTTGTGAGCAACATAACAAATATCCATTAATCATGGTAATAAAGACCATATGTTATTTAGCAACAAAGCAAGAATATCAAAGCAACTAACAATGTTTCCCCTTAATCCATGAATAGTTTCAAAGACAAAAGTACGGAAATTCTGGGGTCAACAAACCTCATTTTTACTTTTTTAGTACATTCTTCTTTTTTCATCTTTGATTTTACCTCTTCTCCACATGTTAGGTAGAAGTGTACTACATTTTCTCAATTGGCACTTATTTTTCTTGTAACACCCCGTATATATCCGGCAATATTATCATAACATCGTATTAAGCTGCGCTTAATTAAAAATGCGAAATTACTTTTTCTTTTCAATTATGATGTCATTAACATTACCAACTTGCTTAATAATCAATTAATAAAACATCGTCTGTATGTAATTGCAATAAAACAGCTAACTGAAATACCTCATAACATAGATAATATAAGTGTGGCTCTAGTCACCGAACTACAACAACGTAGACCGGACCATCTAACAGTTTATACAACTCCAATCTAAAAAGTACTAACAGAAAGTGTCATGGACAATCCCCATGCTCACTAAAATAAGGCAACATGCCCAACATCAGTTTCAACAACAACATATCATAAATAGCGGAAAACATAAACAGCATCCAAATCTAGTCATGCTAACATAAAGTAGTAAAACATAATCAGCTAAGCTCCGGCCTCCTGCCGCCTGAGGCATCAGTACTCATACTACCTGATCCTGAAATAAGCATTCCCCAAACGTGGGGTAAGATCTCTAAACTAGAAATCTCAGTAAGACAGTGCGTCCTCAAGGATCTTCCACCCCAAGCTCACTTACATGTGCAATATAAGTTCAAAAGCAGTTTATCATTTATCATTTCTAAAACAATGCAATGCAGCAGATAATCATGACATGTGTGTCAATACTAATCTACTGGCCAGAGACAGTGCAGGTATACGTCTATCACCTACACACCGTGCAAGTACCACTTGCATTCACCCCGGTACACCGTCTTGTATGGCGCTACATACTCAGGCTTCCCGTCAAGATGAAACAACACATGCATATTAAAAGCCATTACATGTAAAGTTCAATCAACATATCAAATATCCAAAAGCATGTACACAACATGCATAAACCATACCTCCATAGGACATGGTGGAACCACAACATGGCTAAACCGAGGACACGAAAGCTTACCTCTAAGCTAGCTATCCAATGCCACAAGCACAAAGTCCAATCATAGCATATCACAATCTGATATGGACCAAATATAAATCAATAACATGTACCACATGCATACAAATTAAAGACAACGCCTTTTCATTACGCTTTATGTCTTAAGGCTTCTCACCAAGCCATAAGCCCTTAATCACTTGATTCTGACTTAGTTTAATTAAAACAGAAGTTCAACTTCATCAATCTAGGGTCCACAAACCCCCAATAGCCTACTGTCCTCACAGCACAGCTACTGTTCTTCGAAATCCCAGAATATCCGGATATTCCTCGGGACCATATCCAGATATTCAATATCCGGATATCTCACTGTGCATATCCGGATATCCAATATCCGGATATCCAGAATCCCATATCTGGATACCAAATATCCGGATATCCAAAACCCCATATCCGGATATCACATATCCGGATATTCATCGGGCAGATATCCGGATATTTCACTACAGAATGCAGTTCTGCATTTTCGTGAAGATATCCATCCAATGTTGGGTTTTTAACGATTTAAAGCACCTAAACATGCATTTCTAGGTGTGTTCAACATTACCCAACAACAAGTTATCATCTTTAAGCCTTAACATGCATCAAGCTTTCATTTTAAGCATTAAACTCATGATCAAAGGTTGGTATATATACCAAAGGCCAAAACAGAGGGTCAACAGCTCATGAAGCTCCCAAAACAGCTTCAACAGCTGCTGAGAATATGGTGTACAAAAATGCTACACCAAGACTTGACCTTTCTACCCAAAGGTTGCTTCTTTAAGCAACAAAATGCCCAACTCAAGCTTCCACAACCAAGCCAACCAAGTCAGCCCCAAAACTCTCACCAACAGTGGCTGAGCACTCAGAGAAAAGCACTCTTCTCCCTCACCAAGCTCACTCTCAAGTGTTTACAAAGGAAGAATGAAGGAAAAACAAGAAAGGAAGTGCCTTGGACCCAAAATGGAGAAGAAACCCCACAAGTCAGCCAAACTGATCAGCCACCCTCAACCCTCACGTTCAGAATCTGTTTTCTAGGGCATTGTGCCCTTA